CCCGAGCCTGCCTGTTCCCACCCCAGGCATGGCCACCAAGTCACAAAGAAACACCAAAGCCACAGGCAGTCTTCCTCCAGCATGCCACGGAAGGGGTCCCCATGGAGGTGCTGAGGGCCACTGGGGGGACGTTACCTGCACCCCCTTCCCATACCAGCCCATCCCAAGCTCCCTTTCCCTCCCACATCCTCACAGGAGCACCTGCCCTGCAGCATCATGGCTGATGCGGTGTCTGTGGCAGGGCGATGCTCTGGTGGAGAGGGGGCAGGGGTGAGAGCCCCCTGCACTAGCAGGGTGACCCTGCTGCCTGCCCAGTGCCAGGCCGCAGCATCTGCAGGGAGGGATACTCACATGGCCCACTGCAGCTTCTCATTCTTGATGGAGCCATACAGTGCCTGCAGAGAGAAGAGTCAGGGGTCAGCAGGAGAGAGGTATCGCATCAGAGGGGCTGCTCTGGGGGAAGGAGGGGGCATGCCAGGCTGGCTCAGGGGCACTTGAGGTTAAGGCAACACCAGGTGGATTTATCCTGGTCCAGCCCTGTCCTGACTGGGCCAGACAGCTGACCTTGTTTGAGGGCTACAGAAACCTTCTGGGCACCACAAGACCTGCAACCCCATGCACACCCCAGGTGCATACACACAGTGCTGGGGATAGTACTGGCTGTCTCCCCTCTCCTCCTTTCCCCCTTTACCTGCCTGTGATGGTGAGGTGTATCAAACATTTCCAAGTCCTTGGGAGAGCTGCTTCTCCCCACTGCAAGGTGTCCAAGGCTGGCCAAACAGACAAACTTCAGGAGGCCTGCACCCCAGGAGAGCAAGCCTTTGGGCTGGACTTCAATGGTGCATGCCTGCACACTGCTCAGTGGGACCCCAGCCTGCTCCGGGGCCTCCAGCAACAACACACCACAGACAGCAACCTTCCTGCTGTCGGCCCCATCCTGGGCTGGCTCGCAGCAGCACCCTGCACTCTGTAGCAATGTGATACTCCTGTGGGAGCACACTCAGACTTCAGGAGAGACTTCAGCACAGTGCTGGCCCTGCACTTGCAGAGACACCAACACACTGTCATTCATGAGGCCCTCAGAGGACCTCGTGGCTGGTTGAGGCAGGATGGGTGTTTGCCTACTGCTGGGCTGCTACTGCTTGGGGTGGCTATGGCCTGTCCCTACACACTCCCCAGCACCACCGCCCCCCCCCCCAGCCTCCCAAGCACCCTGCCCTCCATGGGGACCTGAACACCACTGAGTTCAGCAAGGCAGGATCCATCACCTGCATCTCAGCAGAGGAACAAGCTAAGTCTGCCTGCAGCGGGGTGCTCCAGGGCCCTGCTCCCAAGCATTTGTCCAGTCCGAGCTGGGTGCAAGCCAGAAGTGCTCAGCACAGCTCTGCAGCTGGGGAGGCTCTGGAGAGGGTTTCAACACAGTGCTCGCAGAGAACTTCAGAGCAAGATCTGGAAGGCATCATCCTTGGAGGAAAATAATCAAGTCTCACACAGGCTGTTCAGGCAGCTTCAACATCCATCACTGGGCCAGAGAGTGCTGCTGAGAGAGCTTGCTGGTGGCTGAGAAAGTACAACTGGAGGCGTGCAGGGGCCTAGGAAAACCAGCCAGCAGACAGGCCCCAGTGGTGTCTGGGGAAGGGACATCCATCACTCCCCCGAGAGACGCAGTGGCCAGGACGGAGCAGGGAACTGGCTCCTTCCGCACTTCCCCATTGGGGAAATGCTGGTATAGCACCAGCTTGTTTCTCAGAGGAGAAAAAGGATCACCCCAATCTAGCAGGCAGAAAGCAGGGTTCAGTTGTCTCCTGGGAAGACAGGAGGCTCATGGAGGGGGTATGACCTCAGCACCTGAGAGGAGATTAGACCCCAGCTCCATTCATTCAGCCCCAGCACTGGAGGGGCCAGTTGCTGAGGTGTGAGCAGTGGGTACCTGCCAGTGGGCTGACAGCAAGGCAGCCAGAGGAGCACGGGTTGCAAAGAGACCTAGAGAGGAGCCTGGGGGAAAAAAAAACAATCCAAAGTCCTGTAGAACATAACCTGGGAGCAGAGCAGGGGGAGAAGCAGGTGTGTCACAGTAATGTAGATGATATCGAGTCACCACAGGAAACAGAAGGGAAGGGATCTTACTCACTGCTGAGGATGCAGTTGAAAGATGCTGAGAATGAACAGACAAAAAGAGGAGATTGAAAAACCGGCAGAGAGAAGTGGGGACTGAAACTGCAGAAAAGCTCCTCAGAAAGAGCGCACAGAGTGGGACGTGTGGCTTGGCTTCCACCCAGCTCAGTGGCGATACTGAGGGGTCAGCTCCCTGTCCCCAGGGAAGGGAGATGTGAGCCAGCTAAGCAGGGATTTTGGAGGGCAGGGCGAAGCACTGCACCAGAGAGGACTGCAGCCCCCAGGCCCCCAGCCCCACACAGGGCTTGCAGGAGGATTGCTTCTAAATGCCGAATGAATGAGCTTATGTCAGAAGATGCTTGAGGAGTAATTCTGGATGGCACAGTGCCAGAGAACAGCCTGGCAGAGCACTGTGCTACAAAAAAACTAGGCTCTGGGACTGTCAGCAAACACTTCAAAGCGTGGCTTCAAAAGGCTCCAGCCATGCTGCTACAAGCCCCAACGGCATCCCACAAGCCTGTTGCAGGCACGAGCTGCTAAGTAGCCCCATCTCAGAGACAGGGAGCAGGGGCTGCTCAGCACTCCTGTAGGGGGGACAGTGAGAGGCAAACAGGAGGACTGGGGGGATTGAGAGGGCAATGCAAAACTTTACGTCTACGCTTATATCCTGCCAAGACTCTGCTTGGCTAAATGCCACCCCAGACAAAACTGATCTCAGGAACAAAGCTGATGGATTCAGCCCAAATCCTAGCTAGAGAAGACACACTCCAGCCCCAAAGCCCATCCCACTTTTCTTAGTCTAATGGCAATACCACTGCCCATCAGTCCACTAAACTCTGAGCTCTTTGGTTCATGGACCATTTCTGCCAGGGAAGCACAGACAGTGCAGGGCTCCTGAAGCCTAACTCACAACCACATCAGCAGAGATCAGACACCAGTTTCATTGCTCAGCAGGTCCCTCTCTCCAGGCTGTCTTTGCTCTGTGGACTCATTCCCCCTGGGCAGAAAGGATGGTACCTCTTGGCACTTCTGAACTCTCAAGCACTGCCCAAGAGAAAGCAGAGTGCTGGCCCCATGCCACTGCAGCTGACCCCAGGCATGGTTGGGGGTTTTTGTCATCCCTAGGTTATGAGCTCACTGCTGCAGCATGCTGGGCCAGCCAGCCAGCTCTGCCCTAGACATGCGCAACGCCAAAGAGACCTAGGAATATACTGTCCCAGTGGGATTTCTAACTGAATCAACAACATCTTTCTTTGTGCCCTCCCTCCTGAAAGCAGGCTGAGAGGACGTCCCTGAGTTCTGCTCTAGCAAATGGGGGCTGCACTGGGAAAGAGGCAGGTGACTCTGATGCTCCAGCCCAGCCTTAGCACCAGCACCGCTGAGGACAGCTCTACACAAACAGGGCAGGGAGAAGACATCCCCCCTTCAGCTCATCAGCTCAGAGCAAACCAGAAGGGAGATCCTGTGCTAGTTTGGGGAACTGGGCAGCAAGCTGGCCTGGACACAGCTTTGGCACAGATGGGACTGTACCGAGGGCTGTAGCCCAGCCCGCAAGTAACAAGAGGGTTAAGGCAGGAATTTAGGCATCCAGCACAGGGTTTTAACCCTTCTTGGGTTAAAAGAGATCATAACTCTTACAGACACGTCCCCTTTCCAGTCTGCTGGTTCCTGTACTAAGCAACAGTGCTCAGCTCTCACTGCTGCAAGATGTCCTAGGCAGGTCAAGGCTCCCCTTCCTCCTGCTGGCCCTGTGACCAGCCACGGCTGTGTGACGTTCTGCAAGACAGACTTCACAGCCACCAAGCACTCATTCTCCAGTCATTCTCTCTCTCCTTGCCTGGTAGCATTTCAACTTGAGAGCTCAATTGATGGCTTTCCCCAACTTTCCCCTACACTGCTCCACCAGTGCACCTCAATGTAGACAAAGTATCCTTAGCAAAATATCTTTCTCTACACCCAGACACAAAGCTCTGTCAGGTCCTCAGGCACCCAGACCCCCTAGCTGCGCAGATACAAACAGCATGGTCAGATTAGGGCTGTATGTCAGATAGAACTGTACCTATGTCAGGTCCCTTATTCACCTTGGCAGCTTCCCCACACCTCTGCTGCCTGCCCAGCACACACAACCCATGCTCAAGAATAACTCATCACCTGGCATGCACCAACCTTGCTGTGCACACCCCGTGTTCGCCCTCCCTTTCACTGCAGAGGGGTTCCTGTGAGCAAACAGAGCAGAGTGATACGGGGACAGACTTTTTTCCCTGTAGGATGGGCTGCCACGGGGACACCTTCCACCCTGCTGCAGGCAGCAATAGCAGGCAGCAGAGGACAGCTACCAATCCCTGCTTCACACTTTTGAATCAGCAGCATCATAAGCTGCATCAATCTCTTCTAAAACATTTCTTGCCCAGCCAACTACCACATCCAGGACGGCAGACCCCTCTATCCCTCCCAGCGCAGCCCCACAGCGCGGGAAGCAGCGACCGAGCATCTCCCAACTGTATGTTTCCATACGAGTGCGTCACAACTTAATGCTGCCCCCAGACCGTACTGCGCTATGACAGCATCACCGCCTGGCACGGCCCGATGTCCCCACCGGGCTGCTTTTGACCACGGGGCAGCCCAAGCGGGTCTGTGATACCCCTGCCTGGTTTGCCCCAGCCTGCCTGCAACGCGGGGGCCAGTGAGGACTCTTCTCTCGCTGCCACGCCGGAGGAAGGCACCCAACCGAGATAGGACGCACCCAGAGACAGCCTGTTCGCTTCTCCCCACCTAGGAGCGATGCACACCAGCGTAACACCTCCAAAACGGATGCTGGCTCACAGCGAGCAAGCTCTTGGCAGTAAAAAGCCCTTTCTCGTCCAGGCAGCCACTCCTTCCTCTCCAGTTCCGCTCGGCTGGGAGCCGGGGCTGCGGCCCCTCCGCGCTGCTTTGTGCTCTCCCCAGCCACCCCAGCCGGGTGCCCGCCTGCCCTGGCCGGGCTGGCACGGCTTAGCGCAGCCCTTGGCGGGGAGCCCGCAGAGCTTGTCACTTATGCTAAGCTGGAGGGCTGGTCCCAGCGGTACAGCTCTGTCCTGGATTCTTCTGGCAGTGATGTTTTCGTGCAAGCGTTGCTGTCAAGCCATTGTAAGCGGCTCAATGTCACCCAGGTCTTGCTGTGCTCCCGCTACCCCCGCGCTCGGGGTGGAATGGGGGAGAGGATGGCAGGGTCGGAGAGGGGAACCCGGGGCGCAGGGGGGCTGATGGAGACCCGGCTCCGCAGAAAGCAGGCAGGGGAGGGAGATGGGGCCGGCTGCTCGCTGAATCCACGCCAGGGCTGAGGCTCTCGCAGCGGACGGGCCGAGCGGCGGGCCGGGCGTGTCTGTCCGTCCGCCCGCCCGCCCGTGTCCCCGCTGGGGCGCGGGGCGCAGCGCATCCCCCCCGCGGCGTCCCC